CAGGAAAGTTATCTTTTTATGGCAGATAAATTCGCTGCAAAATAAGAAAAATCTATCACAAAATACGATTTGCTGCGGAATATAATCTTACGCAAAAAGTGGCATTATAAAATTATTTGTGGCAGCAAATATTATCGTCGAATTTGCGACATATTTTGGTGAAGTTTAGCCAAAAAAAAACCCGACAAATTCTGCCTTGCTGGCCCAGCTGCCTGTTGTTGGCACCTGACCGTACATCCCACTGGCCGCGCCATCTCCTACATAATCGACCTAAAAACCATCGCCCTTCTCCACTCGACCGCAGAGACAATAAGGTTTAAAATGTTTTTTTTTTTAATTATTTAAATTATAACTCAACTTGCGGCGGATTTATAGTGAAATTTATGTTGCAAATCTGCCGCAAAAAACATCAAAAAATTTCTTCTTCAAAATCCATCACAAATACATTGACTTTTGCGACAGACATAATTCCGCCGCAAAAAACTGACTTTCCTGTAGTGTTTTTTTCAAATTCTATATGCTCTATTCCTCACTCCTGTTTTAAACTTATAGACTACCAGCCTCTTTATTTGTACACATAATGGATTGATGTTGATCTCCCGAGTCTTACCTTTAGCCTATACACTCAATTTCATAGGATTAGCACTAACATCCACATATGAAGTAGAACAACCCAAATGAGTAAATCATAAACCCATCTTTGAACCACATTCAACAATTATTGAACAACCTATGAAGATGACCAAACTATCGATCATCATGAATGACCAAAATGATTGACCTATTTGATGAGTCTTCGTATATATTCATTCCATTATTTAGTTATATTTGAACCCATGTCGATGCTTTATATCTCTATTTGAACTTCCTCAAACCTAATTTAATTAATGCTTGATCAAACTCTCTTCAAAGATAATTTGACATGGCCGATGAAGGGATAAATATGTAATGATCTTCATTTGCATTAGATTAATGACTTACTAATGACTTATTAATGACCAAATAGAACTAAATTACAATTCTGGCATTTTTGAAATTTCTGCATGGGAGTGATGGGGAGTTGGGCTGGCTAATCTTATGGTGCTTTGCTTCTTTTTTTGCAGGTTATGAGTTAGATTATCAAAATAATTTTCAATCATAAAAGACAAATCAAATTACATCACTAACCTTCAAAGATGATAAATAGGGAGTAATTGTTTTTTCTTTTTTTGTTACGAGAAAGCACTGTTCTTAGGCCAGTGAAAACCCCGGTCGACCTAGCATGCAACCCACACCAATTTACATGGGCCAACACTTAAGGCTTTCACTGGGGATTCGAACCAGGGACCTGGGCTTTGCCCGACCAGCTCTTCACCACCAGGACAAGCAGCGGTGTGTAGGGAGTAATTGTTACCATGAATTTCTCCTCACCTTGAAAACTTATACTTTAGGATCGCCAAACTGTTTAGCGAGGCTAGTAACTATATTTGTTAAAAGACAATGATAACTTAGTTTGAATGAAGCTTTTGTGCATATTTTCCTAATAAATGAAATAGCATGTATATTTATCCAATATTGAGTATTATAGGGCATAAAACTTCAAATTCCTTGGAAATAATGTTACTCTAGTTATTTTCCTATAGAGCTTGAGTTTAAGAATTTTAAAATGTTATTCAAATTTATTTATCAAATTCCAATTATTTTGTATCATGTTTTAATCAAAATTATCTAAATAAATAGCTAACTATATATGAGCTTTAATCTTACTTATATTATTTAATAATATAAGCACATTTTAAGCCTATAAAATATAAAAATTCTATATAATAACATAAAACAAGTTATTAAATTGTAATAGATCTGCCAAACTCTTGTTGAGCAACAAATGAGAATATTCCCAAGTACAATTAAGCAAGTCAATATTCAAATTTATTCAATTATATATCAAATTAAAATATATATATATATATATACAAATTTATTTAATTATTTAAATAAATAAATAAAATAATAAATATGGAGGCATCCCCACGTTATTGATATAGGATGGGCATTACTGAAAATCCTTATTAAAATACAGGAGATTTTTTATAGGATGCAGATGCTTTCGTGCGAAGAAACGAAGAGCCAAGAATGGGGAAAAAGAGGAGCCGCCCGATGCCTCATCTTTCGCGCGAAGAAACGAAGAATCGGAATGTAACACATATATTTATAACTGTTACCCGTGCATTTGGTATATGAAAAACCATAATGGAGGTTTTAATTTTTAGGAATATGAAGTGTTTACAGCCCAAAAGTTATATGCATTCAATTGCTCAATAACCTGCTTTTATTTTATTAACTGTTAGCCATGCATTTGGTATATAAAAAGTTGTAATGTAGCTTTTAATTTTTAGGAATATGAAGTGTTTATAATGAACGTTGTAGATTAATTTATAATTTATAGATGAACGATTAAGATTTGTTATGGGTGGATTCCCAAGCCACACTTATATAGTAGTATAGATAGTATATATGTGAATTTTTTGATTTATTAAATATTTTTAATAGAATGGACGGCCAAGATAATTAAAAAATAAGTAGAATGGATGAACAAGATTTGCCGGAGGAAGAAAACTCAAGCCCCTTTTATAATAGTAGTATAGATATTGACTTGTTATTACATTCATATCCTTGCAATCGAAATCCATGTTTGAATCCAAGTTCTTGATAGCCTTTGAGAATGATCTGCAATACGCATAACAGATCTAGAAGTATACATGTTGAAACTTGCTTGAAAGCCCACCATTATGCATATCAACTTCTTTCATTTGTAGGAGGGTAATATATTTGTCCCTATGAATGGTGTGCGCATTGATCATCACCTTCCTTATTTGGCTTGCACGATATTCATTATGATGTTCTTGAATGATCATGATTTTTTGATAACTCTGTTTATCAAGTTAAGATTAATTTCTTTATTATTATGAGTTCAATTCCTTATAGTCACAAGTTCAAGCTTAGTTCATTGCAGTCAATGTGCAAACCTGTAAGTCTTCATCATCTGGTTCAAATTTGAGCTCATTTTGTTTAATGTTCAAAGGCATGATTTGCTTAATGTTCACTTGTCCAAGTCAAAAAACATGTTCAAGTTCAATGTCAAAAGTTCTAGTTTTGCTAGAGTCCAAATCAAGCTCACAACTTTGCTGTCAACTTGTCGAAGTCATTGTTCAAATACAATTGAAGTTCAAGCCCTTTTTATAGGGGTGTCAATTTCGGGTCACGGGTCGGGTTCGGGTCAGACCCGGAACTGACCCGGATTCAAATGGGTCGACCCTAACCTGACCCGGTTTGACCCGAAATATTCATATTTAAATATTTACGCACACACAATAATATGTATATTCTATAATTTTTATATGACTTTCAAGCAGATTTTATGTTTGTGAACAACTTGCGTTCGACTCTGATTAAAAATCCAAACACAAAAAAAGATGGCTCATTTGCTTAACAAGCCGATTTGACCAACTCTTGAGTTTGCTCAAGCTCGACTTGTTTATACCCCAAATTTAGTGTCCCTCCTTTTGTTGAGTGCCTTTCTCCTTTCATTTGTTTTGGCCTACCAAGCACTTTTCGGTTGTTTTGTAGCCGCTCTTCTTAAGCTTCAAGCTTGTAATCCTTCTAAAACTCTATGCTCCAACCCCTTTCATTGCTCTAGTCCTATGCTAACATTCCGCTTGAACCTACTCTAGCCTTGGCTCATTCCAAAAAAAAAAGGCTTTGTCCTTTGAAAATCCATCTCATATATATACTACACAAATTATAAATGATTTTCTTAAATTTTGTCCTTTTTATGATGAATGATTCATTTGCTTAAAATGGCCTAACAAATGGGGTTTATTGGGCCTCGGATTCTACTGTTAGATAAATTATTGCATGTGGATAAACAATAATAAGCTTCTTTAAAATTGTATACACAATTATGTAGAAGCTCTTGATTGATTATTTGCAAGTAATGATTTCTCCTTATGTTGAGCTTCAATTTATTATCAATTTTTTTTCTACTTATTTATTTTATTATTATTATTTTGTGGTAGTACATATGTATATGCCACTTCATTTATGAATTCTCTCACTCATTTATGAAACAAAATCATAATTTTCTCGTGCAATAACTTGAGTGACATGGGGGCTTTCAGGATTGGTTTAGCATTTTTGAGCACTCTTAACTTAGAAATAGGATGTTATGAGGGAATTTCTCATGAAACTACATTCATTTGCCTCCATCGCCATTGCCACAAATCGAGTCAGCTTGTGGATTGCATATGATGTCAACAAGCATCCATTTTAAAAGGCACTTTTGTTGATTAGTGTTGAATTTCCTGATTAAGTTTTCATCTCCTCTATATTTTTCATTCCTTTTTCGTAGTATTATTAAATGTTTTCTTAGAGTAAGAAAAGAGAACCAACATTTTAATGAATAAAAGTAGAAAACATTATTTATTCAAGATCCTTCATATCAAATCGCCGAGATAGAATGAAAATAAATCATATATTGATCCATACAAGGAAGATGATTTTGAGTTATTAATCTTCCAATCTAACACTATTTGTCTGAGAGAAGAATCTCTATCTTCTTGTGCTAATGGGACGTAAAAATAGAATGGGAGGATACAAGAGAATAAGAAGGGGTGTGTCATATCCGTATGGAGGGGTGTATTATATCCAGTAATCCAGATGAAGGCGAGTATCTTATTCGTATGGATTGGAGGCCATAATCATATCTTATAACCAATTTTTTATATTCTATTTTAACCTATCATAAAATTTGAAATATGAAATTAGACATCTATACATAATTAATCCATATTTTATTTTATACTCAAAGTCCTATTTCTTTAATCTCAATTAAATCACCTTAAAGAAAGTGCTAAATTTTAAGATAGCCTATAATATATATTTAATTATATATTTAGGCACATATATTTAATTATTTTTCCAACATGGTTTTCATTATTTAATAAAATTAGATGCTTTTCTAGGTTTCTGCAGCATTCTGGAGTTTATCCTGACTACACCGAGGAGCCATCTAGTCTTGCTTCAGGAAAACCAAATGTCCACAATGTTACCTTACTTCTTAGTGATTGGTGGGGTTCAGGAATTGTACATGCAAAAGTTTGGATATCAGATTCTGAAGACATTTATATTGGATCAGCCAATAATGACTGGAAATCTCTCACTCAAGTATTTTCTCACACATGAAAAACCTATGGTTTTATTTATTGTTAATTTATTTTTTCATTGTTCACACTGGAATGCTGGACCAGTCATGGGAATGATTGTTTGAAAAGTTAGTTAGGTTCATTCTAGATAGCTTTTACAATGGTTTTAGTCAAATTTCTTACATTCTGTTCAGAAACATGACCTGTTGCTAATCAGATGGAATAGAAAATTGCAAGGATTTGACTCATTTCATATTACTGATAAAATATATTTTTTCCACAAAAATAATGTAATGAACAAATTATTAATTTGAATGAGTTAGCTAGAATCTTTAAATGAATATAAATTGAACATTGAAAAATAAATAACTGCGACCCAAGGAGACTTGAACTAAAATTTGCAATTAAAATAAAACAAACTCTAGATGAGATTTACATCATGGCAGCTAAAAGGTATATATAAAATTCAATTGCAAATTGTCAATCCCAGCCAACCAAACAAATCTGTACAAATTTACGACTAATACTACACCAATACACCATTTATCAATTATAGTTCTATGTAGACATTCTTTTCTAAAAAATATCAATTTTATTTACTCATTACACCTTCAAATCTGTTAATAGGGGATTGCAGATGGAATTTCAACACAGTGTTACAACAATTATTTGCGACAAAATTTCTGTGCTATTTGATTTTTATAGTTTTGTCTATAATCACCAATTGTCTGTTCTTGAGATTACTATATTATGTAGATCCTGTTCAGTATGCACTCTTACATTTAGTTTCCTTGTTTGATGGACATGTGGTATTGTTTTAATGTTTTTCTCCAGGTTAAAGAGGTTGGTGTCTACCTTGTAGGCTGTCCTAGCATTGCCAAAAGATTGGAGATCTATTTTGACAATCTGTGGACATTATCGTCACTTAATGCCACAGTTTACAGCATTACCGTTTGGGATAAAATATGGCAAGCTTCTAGAAAAGTTCCTTGCTGGTCTCATTTCATTCCTTATAGAGAGAGATGCAGGTAGACAAAAAACATTTGGTTAAAATATGGTTGTTCATTTTTATGATATTTATACTCGTAGTTTTTTGCTTAACACTCATGCATGATTCTGTTGGACTCGCTGTGTGACACATTTTAAATGCCATATAACAAGTTCCTATACCTCAACTCATCCCTGTCTAGAATATTTCTATAGTTTATACTGATAAATTTTGTTTTAAATATTCTTTTTGCTTGTGATTAATTGTGGAATTATATTTCCTAGCAGCTCTCCTTTACAACATTATGTTGACACTCCACACGTGGATGGATATCCAATATTATCTGATCCTGATAAATTCCATGTTTCACTTATGACTCCTGGATATAACATATCATCTGCACTACAAAATTCGAGCTATCAGACAAGTTATCTTTCATTTGCCCCACCAGAGGTATAACATTTTCAATTAATATTTTGCTTGCTAAATGCATTTCAGGTTATGAACATTGGGTACTCTAAAGTAATTTGTTTGTTTGGATTAAGGCTATCTTTGGGACGGCTTTCTTACTGCTTCTTAAAGCGGCTTTCAATTATAAAAAATTTAATTTTTGTACTAGAAAGTAGCTTTATGAAGTAAGAAGAAAGCCGTCCCAAACGAAACCTAAATATCAACAAGAATTTTAGTGTATAATCATGGAATTCTGCATTATTTTGATTTTTTTGTCATCCACGTTGCCATTCTTCTATGAGAAAATTATGTTTCTAGTATGTTTTTATTTTTTAATTTAACCTTTTAAAGTTCCCGTGGAGTCCATGGTTCTTTTTTGCTGACTGTCGCCCTTCTAACAAACTGTCATTATTTTCGTTGTGAGCAGTTGAATGTTGGGTGGTTTAGGATTTGCTTGTACTGGTAATAAAGAGAGAAAAAAATTCAATCATTAGTATGTTAAAAGGTCGTTGATTTTTGCTTTTTGAGGTTTATGAAAGTAGTTGTTCCATTCCTTTTTAGCTCTCGAATGGACAAAATGCTTTTCAACACTGATTAATTTAGAATTCCTCATGGTGCACTAAACAGGGATGAGTTGAGAATAATTATTCTTAAACCAGACTCAGTTGGGATAATGCTAATGATGATTATGAGATGAGTTGTTTGTTCTTGTTCTCAACACTAGTGGCTTCTATTATTTTGTGGCAATTTTATATAAGCCAATAAAAAATTGTCTATTTACAAAAATAATAACCTCCTATCTCCATTCATCAATTTAACTTTTAAATATCAAAATTCACTACAAAATTTCAACCTGTATTTTCACTTTCATCAAGCTCTCAATGGTTTGTTCACAACATACATATAATTGTTCAATAGTTTATTTTTTTTTATTTTGGGTGTTAAATTTTTTAAATATAAATGATTTTTATGACATGCATGTAATTCTCTATATTATAAAAATAATAAATTATTTCTTCCTGAACTGCAACATCCAGAAAATCAACAAGTTTAATCTTAATCTTTAATAGTATTATTCAAAAATCATTAGCTAATCCTGTAATTAAAAAGGGTCATATCTTACTTTTTGGTAATATTATCATGGTTTAATATTATATATACTATAATCACACACCTCTTATGGTCCTTGGTAGCATGGAGTAAATAAAGTATTTAATAGTTTTTTAATGATAATGAGGTTGACAATAATATTCCAGCCTTGTCTTCCTGATATAATTTTGCTTTATAATGCAGAATATCCTCCTTATTGGATGTGCTCAATCCACCATAAAATATGTCGACAACAATTTCCTCTGATATACTAATAATTTTCGCAAGTTTATTTGAAGTCTACCTTGTGCAGCTATTGTTTGAGAAGTTCCAATCAGATGAACAGGCATGGGTGGAGACAATTAAATCTGTACCATTCGGAGGAACTGTTAGAATTAATACAATGGATTGGCTAGGTGAGTCCCAATACACAAAACAAACTATATATTGGTCGTCTCTTTCGTCTGCAATATCAGAGGTATGATAAGTTTCTTACTGGTACCTGACCTGCCATCAGATTTCTATTCATGATATAGATTTGTTACTAACGAAGGATATTCCAGGTCCAGGAGAATCTTGAGCTACTGTTCCTACATCTATTTCAACGTAGTTCTTAGTCTTTTTTCTTTGCCATCAATAATTCCTGCAGATATTAGGGACCAAGATAGTCTAGTACTCCTGCATTATGTTATCCTATGTGCCTGATGATCACCATATATGCTCCATAATAGAATTTGCGGGAATGTCCCGAGAAGGATGATGATAGGAAGTGGATGCAGAATTTGTTAAATCCCTTGGCTAAAATGTAATTTCAGCAAAACCAGAATTTGACAAAAAAGAGAAAATAGGAAGTACAACACACACAACACCTTTTTATTAAAATAGCTATGAAGGAAAGACAAGATACAATTGGATCTTCAATGAGAGAGGAAAACTCGACTCTCCCAAATCTCTAGCTGCCGGCTAGAGCCTTCTCAACATGAGAAACTTATCGATTTAGTCAAAACATAACATAACCCTAACCCTAGGGTAAACAACCTACTTAAAGTATACAAAATATATCAAATCCCCAAGCATCCCTTCATAAATTATAAGATGGTAGTGAGGTCTGCAATGCTTTATGGTGCCGAATGTTGGCCATTAAAAGAGAAGCATAATACTAAGTTAAGTGTGGCAGAGATGAGGATGATCAGGTGGATGAGTGGCTTTACCCTTAGAGATAGGATATGAAATGAGCATATACGTGAAAAGGTTGGAGTAGCTCCAGTAGAAGATAAGATTAGAGAGAGTCTCCTTAGATGGTTTGGTCACATAAAACGGCGGCCTTCTGATGACCCGGTTAGGATAGTAGAGGTATTAGATTTAACTTATGTTAAGAAAGGTAGGGGTAGACCTAAAAAGACTTGGTTAGAAAATATTAGAAATGACCTTTCTTTATTAGATTTAAATGAGAATTTGACTTTTATTAGGGCACAATGGAGAAAAAGGATTCATGTAGCCGACCCCACGTAGTGGGATAAAGGCTTGATGTTGTTGTTGTTGTTGTAACGGGCCCTCCATGCTATGAATTTGACCATTGGCCCCACCCCCAAGGGAGGCAGAAATCAAACCATGCGTGCACTATTTCGCTAGGTGTGGACCAAAACCGGTCACTCTTTGACCGGTCTATCAAACGACTAACAGACACGACCTCATGCTGCATGAGCATTGAAGCATTTTGATCGTGGTCGAAATCAGCCAAACTTTGGCTATTTGCAAAAAGGATTGCACTGATACATTCAAGACGTTGAATTTAACAAAGGAGAATCGATTGTACGCAACTTGAGCAAAGTCTAAAAAATCATAGTTATCGAGCGCGACGTTACACAAAATTGCTTGAATGTTGTTCGATCGTGAAATGGATTGTGTCGTCGCATTTGAAAAATTAAAAAAAAAATGCATGGAGGGACCTCTCACAATCAATTCAAATACGACATGTTGAATCACTTGTGACACAATATTGCTATACTAATATAGTTGATTTGTAGATTTGACAACTTTTAACAAGACATCCTGTTGTTCATAATCATTTCATGCTATTACTGTGGTTTAAGAACTTTTAAAATCAATTATCAAAGTATTCTAGATTTACATTGAGAATAAACAAGCTATTCAAATTTATTCATATGTACACTTTCGTCTTTGAGATGGAACATTTCCTAAATTCTGCTCTTGAAACAGGTAATTTTCTCCAAGAATGCAACAGTTAATCTACTAGTAGCATACTGGACACATACTCTTGAAGGCACTGAACAGTACCTCAAATCTCTTTTATACTCAAATGTATTGTGCAAATCATCTGAATATAACAAATGTCATGGAAAAGTTGCAGTAAAGTATTACAAGGTGCCTGGCTATATGAAAACTGGAGCTGCCTTCATTAATGGAACAGCTACAGGAAACATTTACCCTGCTTATACTCGAGTTAATCATGGAAAATATGCTGTTAGTGACGTGAGAGCACACATTGGAACCAGCAATCTTGTATGGGATTATTTCTATACCACAGCAGGTGTGAGCTTTGGTACATATCATCCAGGTATTGTTGCTCAACTACAAGAAATCTTTGATGCAGATTGGACTTCTCCATATGTTGTTCCAGTTGAACCAATTGCTGCAGCTTAGGCTGCTTGGAGCTAAAAAATGGTATGTATTCATCTTGTTTTTCTATCTTTCACATAAGTGTTTGAAATTACTAAAAAGAATAAAGTAAAGGTTCTTTATGGTCAATAGTTCTGTTTTGAAATCATATTTCTTGTGGAGATTTACCTAGGCTTTACTTGGAATTATTTTTTATTGTTTTTTAAAGCAGGTTTTTAGTAAAAATAAATAAATTTTGTATTAAAAGCTCTTAGCCAGTGGATTTATCAGCAAAAATGCAGAATTAAGAGGTGGTTTGGCAACTTAATTGAGCTCAAATAGAGTTTAAGAAATCTTCTAAAACTTAAACATAACATTTTTCTAAGGATTAAAACTTTAAAAGTTGTTTGGCATGAGAAATTGTTGAACTTGCTATATTTGATAAATTGTTTGGCTATTTGTTCTTGATTTAAGATCACAAGATTTAAATATTACTTAGAGAAATTGAAGGTTCAATGATTTATTTCTTCATTCCAAATGATTCCATAAATATATGTTAGCATCAGTGAAACTGTCTTAGTACATTACAACATTAAACATACACTTTGTAAGCCACATCCTTATCCAAATCCTAAACCATTAATCATAAATCAAATTTGTTTGTTCTAAACAAATAAATAGTCTATTGGAACACCAGCCTCCAAAAGAAAAGACCGTTGATTGAATCTCCCACAAAAATTATCATAATGATTCAAAAATATTCATACTTTTTTTACAAATGGATTCATAATGAACATTTGAACCGTAAGCTTCCACATCCAACACATTCTCTGATAAAAATACTAAACAAAATAGAAACAAATATGGAATACAGAATGAACAAATTTAACTTTCTGAAGGGGTAGGGGTCTCAACCAGCCTAACAGTACGAGGCAAATTGAACTCGGCAAGTACAGGATAGCGAGAGGAAGGGTAAAAACCATCAATATTATCATTGACAACTTCACAGGAAGCTGGAACTAATGAGCGTCCTCTGAAGAGAATCCAATCAAGATGCAAGTCCTGAGTCTGACGATCCCAGCAGAGGCAAAGAGCCCTAAATATTAATTTCAAGAATTCAACAGTTCCTTGTTTGTCTCCTGATGGAAAATAATACAATCAGCAGAAGAAAAGCTACATGGATCAGCTCTTCTCAAACTGTAGTTTATGATGACTGGAAATGCAAAATGAAGGTTTTGTTTGGGACGGCTTTCTTATTGCTTCTTAAAGTAACTTTCAAGTACAAAATTTTTATGTTTTGTTCTAAAAAGTTGTTTTAAAAAGTAATAATAAAGCCGTCCCAAACGAACCCGAAATCAGCGTTGAAACTGACCTTTGAAACCATGATATGTATGTATAAGGGAGACATTTTTCCGGGTGCGGGCATTGGGCCAAGCGTCTCTCATATCCCCAACAACTCCATGTTCTCTATTGTAAATAACAAGTGAATAAACTATCAATTGAGTAAGGAGCAGAGATATAATTCATAAAAAATAAAAACAGTTTCCTACCGGGTCCAAAGAATGTTCTCAAAGAACAGGATGCACAGAAGCTAAATGGATTAAACATGTGCACACAAAAAGCAAAATGCCTCTTTAGAGTTCCTTTGCTCATACCATGTTTATTATTAGATAACTTGCCCATGGCAGGTTATCTGCCAGTTTGGTTCTATTACAACAGACTTAGCTAGGGGTGCAACCAAGTCAAGCCTGCTCACGAGCTGGCTTGAGCTCGACTTGATAACAGGCTCGATGTATAATTTACAATGAACATAGAAATTGCAGCTCCATGGTGACAAGCATGTGGCATACATAGGAATATAAAAAATTAATTCTCTTTAACAGTCACAGAACTAAGAAGTTAAAGCATATTTAGTTTTCACTGGCGATTGAGTCTGAGGGTAAGTTTATTTAATTCAAAAAATTCCTTTACTAGGCTTTCTCTATGACCACTTAATATAAGAAAACAACTTTGCTTTGATGTAGAAGAAAACAAAAAAATATGGCTTGAAGATTGCACATCAAACAACTCCTTGTGTGCAAACTCTTCAATTATCCTGGCCAGTACAAACTTAAGGTCATCTTCATTTCTACTCTCTTACGCTCATATTAATCTAAATAGGCTAGCATAAACTTCTAAACAGCCTTAGGATTGAAGTATGCACATGGAACAAAAGGTTGTGATGGCTATGATGACATCATCACTTCTAGATCTTTTTATTGTAGATCATATATTAGTTCATTTAACCTTTACTAGGATGAATAAATACCTTAATGAGCATTGATGAAAACGTTGAATTTTATTCTATTTAAACTTTATGCAAGCATAAGCTGCTGCATGGCTTATAGGCAAATAACTTCAACTGAAAAATGAATTTCCATTCGGGTAAGAGGAGATAAACATTTTTGTTCGTAGTTTCGTACCTAGATCTCCCAAGAAGAAAGCGTCCAGTGGTAGATTCCTTTTCCGTGTTAAATCCTCCACAATATATAACTGGTAAGTTAGGAGGCAAGGATGCGATGTGCTGCCATGTGAGCAAGGCACTCCGTCTGCGTGATCGCGGGCTGAATTCATCAAGATATGTATTTACAATCTGGAAGCTGAACCCTGGTGGTTCAACTCTCTTAAGTTGGAATGTGTAAATACCATGTCAAAGAAACAAAGTACAGATAAGGTTTACAGAAGTTAAAAAGTACAATTAATGTCAAAAGGATATCCCCCATGTAGCAATACTCGGCGCTGCAGATCCCCATGACATGCTTCCTGGAACAGAGGGTGATTCTGACAGCCAAAATGTGCCACCTTCAAGTAGTTCAACCTTCATAAAAGCCGCGAGGAATTTAATTTTTTCATGATTGTGAAATATATTTCTTCCCACAGGTACAAAAAAAATAGTTTAAAGGGTTATCACCTTCTCTTTATCAAAGAAGATAGTACAATGTTCATCTAAAGTGTCTTCTGATCCTTTTCGAGAAATACCAAATTGATCATAACCTGGAAATAGAGGAAAGTATCAGTGATTTGCACCAATCTGTTCAGAAGTGATATTTGTGTGGAAATTTAAGGCAATGTCATATATTCAATCTATTCAATTGAATAGGTTATATGAAGCGAGAAAAATTGTAGATCAGTATGAAACACATCTCTAAAATAGATGGAAGAAAACTGCTAATGCATAAATATCAAGTAGGTAAAGTACAAAATAAGTTCAAAAATATAAAGAAGGCTGATAAAATATATTTTGATGGTATGTAGACAGGAAAGGTTTCCTATAAGAAAATCCTAAGAATTTGCAAATTACTAGCCTAAACATCATATAGTTTTTCAATGTTTTCAGACATTTCACGGTAAAAAAAAGGCGTCCCAATGGTAGGCAATCGCCAACTATGAGGCCTTATGAATGTTTGATTTATGTGATTCATTTTGGTATCCTTTAGTTCACAGAATCCAACCAGTTGCATCTAGGTAAAACCCTTTCAAACCCAAAAAAAACCCAGGCAGAACCCAATGATGATGAACAATTAGATACTTATGCAACGATTAATCTCAGTGCATAAGAAACATTGGCAGACATAGGAAGAAAATAGAAAGTTTGGTGGTAAATTAAACAGCATTTAGGGGTTGTTTGGTTGAAAGCATTAGATATGTATTCCATTCTATTTCCCTGCATTTCAAATTTTTTTTGTGCTTAGTATGAATCAAATGAAATAAAAAGAAAACTCTGAGTGATTTGAAAAAACCCGAAATCCCTATTTTTCTATCATTTGAAAATCATCTGAATAGGACAATTTCCAAATCCCATGTTGTATTGTCCCCACTCATCCGTGGCACCTTCGCCTACACTTGCAGCATCTTTCATTGCTCCTTGCCCATTCTTACTCAACCAATGCCTCCCTCCCGAGTGTACAAATAAAGAGATAAGAGAGAGAGAGAGAGAGAGAGAGAGAGAGAGAGAGAGAGAGAGATAAATCTAAACAAACACAAAAATATTTCAATGCATTTGATTTTCAACAAACCAAACAACTCCTACATTTCTAAAATGCATGTATTTCAGTGCATGCATTTTGAAAATGCCATGCCAAGCAGTTCCTTAGTGATCAAACGGCCACAAGTGCCATTAAATATGGTATAATTAAATTATGATGAATTGCTAAATATTATGGAGAAACTAGGGTGTTCCCATTGAAACCATTGCTTTTAATCTTAGTGTAAGTCTACATTTCTATATACAAGGAAGGTAATCAGAAAGATATCTTTTAGCAATTTTATTAGAATCAATCTCATAAAAATATGTTATTCTTTACTTTTGCATGACTTTAACTTGCTTTAGTTGTCAAAATTTCTTTTACACAGAGTTAAAAGCTCTATCCAAAGAATCCACACTGGTGAAATGGTACCAAACTTTATAATCACTCTAGAGCTAAAGATGAATGTTTTAAACAAGTTTTCCTAAAAAGCTTGTAAATATGTTAGGTATGCCATTATCAATTTCAAACAGATTAACAAATCTAGATGTCTAAAAAATAGTATTAAATTATTTATTTTAGATTTAAAGTTCAATAAATACAAAATAATAAATAAAATTCATTAAATATAATATATATAAGTTATCATGCTAGAAGTTGAACGTCATCATCAAAATTGAACTTTAAAGATTTAATTTAGAACAAAATTAACTTTAAATATTTAATTTAGAAAAAATTTATCAAAGCCAATTAGTTCATAATATTATTAAATCTCATTATCACTTTAATTATAATTAACATATATAGAACAAATTTATTAAATTAAATCAGGTCAAATCATTAAAAAATTACTTAAAATCAAAGCAAATTAAATCAAATTTTATTGAAAGAAGCAAAAAATCATACAACCAATCTGTTTGATTGATTATTTACTCATAATGTGATTTTGATTTCATGTTTTGTTCACCATTTGATTTAATCTATTTTTTAATATTTAGGCTCAAATAGAACCATGCAAACTCTTACAACTAATATTGAAGACATAATATGAATCCACCCAATAGGACATTTTGTCAATGTTCATTATTTTTTTTGAGCCATATACCTTCTAAATTGACTCAATCAATACAAATGGCTAAAGCACTTAGGCTTCTTTTAGGACGACTTTCTTATTGTTTTCTAAAACAGTTTTCTAATATAAAAATTTCTAATTTAAAAAAAAAATTTATAAGGACTTGTATATTCATTCCACATGGCAAGGGAGAACAAAGTTAAGATAACTCACTTTGAACATGTCAATTTTGGAGTCATTCTAACACTTTAAATCTTAGACATATGGGCATCATTCCACTCAACATGAAATAACAAATCTTTTGTTTCAATTACATATTGATTTTAGGATAAGCTAAACCACATCAAGCAACAATTTAGGCTTCATTTGGAATGATTTTTTTTTATTGCTTCTTAAAACAGAATTTTAGTACAAAACTCTATTTTAAAAAGCAATAAAAAAATCGTCTCAAACGAAGCCTTAAGCTCTCATAAGCTAATTTGAAATAATTAGAATGGAAAATATTTTGTAGTTGTGCTCATCACATTAGCTTGAGTGCAATCCAAATGACACGCATTAATGCGATAAACGCCTATTAGTAATGTACTATGACCAAATATTCAAAATTTAATTAAAATAAAAATATACAACAATAGTATCAAGTCTTTATCTCACTACATGGGATCAGCTACATAATCCTTTTTCTTCCTTGTATTTTGTTAAAAGTCAAATTCTCATTTAAATCCAATAAAAAAAGACCACTTCTATTATTTTCTAACCAAGTCTTTTTAAGTCTACCTCTACCTTTCTTAACATAAATCAAATCTAATACATCTACTTTCCTAACGGGGTCATTGAAAGACCGTCGTTTTATGTGACCAAACCAGCTAAGACGATTCTCTCTAATCAAATTTTGTATAGTAACACAATAAATGAAGATAATTTATTGTCACACAAATGGTAGTGCAGCTTAGCAGATCAAAGAATAACTTTGTGCGTGCAAGTACAATATATTCAAGGAGATTATCAAAAACAGAAATACACATAATATAAGCCACATCTGTTCACAAAAATGGGGCTAACAAATCATGCAGGTCAATGGAAGATATTTCACATTCTTCTCAAGCAGAAATATAAACTAACATGATATGCATAACCAATACTTGATTTTGTTTATTGCTTACCAGATATACATAGCCGGGGCATCTTGATCGAACTCTCAATTCTATAGAATTGGTGCTGAAAATAAAGAAAATAAAAATATTTGCAATCTTTGAGGGTAAATTTAAGGACAACAGTAAGTGTAAATGAGACCATAGAGTAACAAAGATGCAACTACCATTTAAAGAGCATTTTAATGAACTATGAGTAGTGAATACAACAGTTTTTCCCAAACTTTGAGTTTGTTTTTTGATTGACAGATCTAAGTAACCTGAGCATCTTGATTGAACTCCCAATTCTATAAAGATTGGTGTTGAAAACAAAGAAAAAAATATATTTGCAATCTTTGATTCATGATGCAACTAACAAAATCATAAATTATACAGAAGCGGATTCATTCAAGGATAACAGTAAGAGCAAATGAGCCCAAAGAGTAACATACATACAACTAATTTTTAACAGAATTTTGTAATTAACTATGAGTTCTGAACAGGAACTGCAGCAGATTTTTCACTAAAAAGTTGAGATTTCATACCCTCTTCCTCTCCAGATGAAGGGTCACAGCTCATGCTTAGGAGAGCTTGAGCAGATTCCAGTCCCTTTTCATCTCCAAATTCCAAAACCTTATCACCTGTTAATTGTTTTTCTATTTCGGGTGGATTGCTGATTGATGGTATTTTATCTCCTTTAGATTCGTGCTCATTCAAAGTTTCCGCAGCGGGAGCCGTAGGTGCAGAATCAATGAAAAGAGCTGTAGGTAGTGGATCAAGGCCATATCTAAGAGATGGTACGTCGTGATTGTGTTTGCCTTCGTATGTAATAACCATGGATTTTGCATCGTATGAAGACTTTTCAACATGCTTGCGGACTGGACAGCCATCATGTGTGCACCTGTAATAACTCCTGGAAGACCAAAAAGTAATATACTTAAAAAAGATTGCAATAAGACTACGACCAAGTTAAATAGAATATATGACATCTCATCTCTTTCAAATTCTATGGAGATAATATCAACTTTCAAGCTAGATAAAAAGCAGGCTGAGAAGTTTTTCCAGCTGAGCACCTATCTTATGTTGCAATCGCTGGATGATCTAAATTTGACACCAATTCTGGAGAAACTACAGAAATTATGATTTTGTTTTCACTTATTTTTGTAACAACAACAACAACAAAATCAAGCCTTTGTCCCATTACGTGGGGTCAACTACATAAATTCTTTTTCGCCATTGTGAATGTTAAAAGTCAAATTCTCATTTAAATCTAATAATAAAATATCATTTCTAATATTTTCTAACCAAGTCTTTTTAGGTCTACCTCTACCTTTCTTAACATAAGTCAAATATAATGCCTCAACTTTCTTAACCGGGTCATTAGATGGCCTCCGTTTAATGTGACCAAACCATCTAAGGAGACTCTCTCTAATCTTATCTTCCACTGGAGCTACTCCAACCTTTTCACGTATATGTTCATTTCGTATCCTATCTCTAAGGGTAAAGCCACTCATCCACCTAAGCATCCTTATCTCTGCAACACTTAACTTACTATTATACTTCTCTTTTAATGGCCAACATTCGGCACCATAAAGCATTGCAGGCCTCACCACCATCTTATAGAATTTTCCCTTATAAATGACTACAGATTTTATGGGGCGTTTGAGAGTAGTTATGATAGTAGTTTATCTTTCTTCCAATAAAGAAAAAAAAAGTTCATGGATCAACACATACCAAGATTTACATTGCTTAGCATCAACCAAACCTATATCCACGGGGAAGAAGAGAGAGGTCCACTAAACATATAAAGGCCATAATTATAGTGTACAAATCAATAAAACTACTTGCCATTTCCCAAAATGCAATGCCCATATGCATAACAAGCAAGAAGCCCAAACAATTTCAGCCGTACAAAATGATCATCTATCACCGAAATACAGGTCACCAAGATTAAATTAGCCAAACCTTCATTAATGTTGTTCACCATTATTGTAATCCTAAAGTCATTGTCTCGAGAGAGAAACAAAAATTATGATCTTTGTACGCCCAAAAAAACTTTGCCAAAATTGGTATTCTTTGCTGCTTCCATCTTGCAAAACCCTATCGAAGACGGTATATCATGAAAGTCTCCAGCTATGGCTTGGCTTACACAACTTAGAGAAGTCCTCAACATATATAGCTGCAAGTCTTCTACCCTGTATGCTTTCAAGAAAGCAAAGCTCAAATCCTGAGTTTGTGCGAGGCCCAGACCCTGAAAATCTTGATTTCACAAATCTCAATGTATGACAAGGGCCTAGGTTTTTGATTCTCCATGGTATCTCATTATAAATGTTAAGTCACTTTTTAATAATTCTGACTTGACTCAATATCATAACAAAATTATATCTCCTCTATGAATCCTACTCTCTAAGATAAGCACTCTAAGCTCTCAAAACTACAAAGGGCTTAGTACCGTGCAATCTCATCAGGTTTGGCAAACACCTGAAATAGATCCTATAAGGACCTCCAAAAACATATTCATTGCACATAAAGATGAATTTGTCTAACTTAAAATGCCCTTGTCATAAAATTGATGTACTTTTAGAGTGGTTGTCTCCTCGTTTTGAAAGAAGCAAATGATACGACACAGTACAGACATAGAATGTGCCGCACAAAAATGACACGTATGGTAACCTACTGTAGACATTCGATTATCTCCTACTTGAATTTGTTCTGAAATTATTCTAGCAACCATAAAGCCAACTAGTGCAGCACATCAAAAGGACTTCAAGATATTTTTTCATGTTCCCATTATTGTTATATTTTGTATTTGTTATAATTCTTATAATATTAAATTATTAATATATTTGGCAACTTTAGTATGCTTAGTAGTTGATTAGCTTACTTGATGGATGATCATCATCAAGTGGCCAGTCTCATGCAAGCTAAAAGAAAGCTTAGTGTACAGATGTGAGACAAAGTAATGGTGCAAGCAAGGACGTGCCAAATTTAACTTCTCAATGCAAGGAGTCAAGCAACGCCCGTCCATCATTTTGTTTCTACATGTCATGCAAAACCAAGATGGTTAAAATTCAAGGGTTTGAAGAATTCCAATCGCAGACCACCACGTCCTCCTAAATTCAAGGATTCAAGGCATCATGTCTCCTCTTCACCTCCTTCACCATGTGAAAGGAACCTCAAGCTCCCATCATTTCCTCCTTTTGTTTTGTTGAAATTTGAATGTTTTAATGGCTTTAAATAATGTAATACATACTGTAAGATGATTCACCATTTGCTAGGCGGCTTATAACCGGTCTTAATTTTTTAGTGAGAATTGAGGTTTTTTTTGTTCTCTTATTATTTTAATTTCATGAAGGATCTTGCTAGACGGCATAAAACGGCGGCCTTCTGATGACCCGGTTAGGAAAGTAGATGTATTGGGTTTAGCTTATGTTAAGAAAGATAGAGGTAGACCTAAAAAGACTTGGTTAGAAAATATTAGAAATGACATTTCTTTATTAGATTTAAATGAGAATTTGACTCTTAACGGGACACAATGGAGAAAAAGGATTCATGTAGCCGACCCCACATAGTGGGATAAAGGCTTGATGTTGTTGTTGTTGTATTATTTTAATTTCATGAAATCCCATTGCCTTCACATCTCACACACCTCCCAATCTCCATCCCCATAATCAAATCATAAGTTTCACACTCGCAGGTTAGCCTCCATCACCACACCACCAAAACCCCAAGCACTAGAGCTTTTCGTCATCCCCACCTCCAAAACTCCATTCTTACACCCTACCTTCATCACAAACCCCTCATAAACAAGAAAATCATCTCCCAAGGTCTAAGCTCTTCCTTGCAACTCAAGTCTTCCCGATTGTGCTCTTCAATTTCCCTCTCCAAAGCTACCACCTTTCATTTCCTTCGCATTTACATTCTCCCATGCCACATCCCTACCTTCACCAACAACCACATAACCCTCCATCCTCTTAAGTCACATTCCAAGAAAGCCTTGGTTGAGCCCCTCCATCACTCCAAGCTCTCCAAATTAATTAACCAAGTCATCCACATTCTCATCCATTCCCCATAATTCTCTCTACAATTCACCATAGTCACCACCAACCCCTCCCAAGTTATTCACCACACACTCTCTATCCCATATACAACAAGTGAGAGTCGTCGTTTTCAATTATTTTCACCACTAAAAGGCTCACAAAATTAGGGTTTCAAAGCAAGGCATTATGATACAAATGCAAAACATGGTGAACCAATTGCCACAAAAGCCCCTACCTTAGGACACAAGCCCAACACATCTTGTATCTGCCCGTACCCTCTATCCCAAACAATCACATAGTTGTTGACCTCCCTCAAAGATTTATGGAAGGTCATCACATTAAGGCAACATTAACCCATAGAAATGTGAATAGTATCAAGCACAATGATAGGAATGTGGAAGATTCTAGTGATTAAATAAAGAAGGTTAAGATAGAAGCACACACATTTGATAGCAAACATGACCTCATAAAGTTTTTAGACTTGGATGAAGGAATTCTTTGGTGGGTATAGCTTTGATGACTTTCAAAAGAAATTACTTTCTAGGATAAAGCTAATAAAACATGCCAAGATATATTGGAGTAATATTTTATCAAAAGAAGAAAGATAAGGTAGAATTACTAATGTGTGGATTGAGATAAAAGGGAGGTTGAGGTCAAAGTATTGTCCAAAATATCATGACAAAAAGATTCATGGCTAACTATTGACCTTAAGACAAAGGAACCTGCATGTGACTTACTGTCTAAACACCTATGAGGATCTAGTAGGTAGAACCAATTGTACATACAATTGATGAGTTACAAATAAATTTGTAAAAGGTCTTAGAGTTGAAATAAGGAATAATATTGAGCTTCATGATCCCAAAACTTTAGGCGATATATTTCACCATGCATTACTCGAATAGAAGCAAAAGTATTCTCAAAATTCCAGGTATAGTGTTCATGCTCCTTATGCTTTTTATCTCTAGGTCTAATGTTAAACTCGCACTACTATGACTGCATCTACACCATCATTTTCATATGAAAAATATTTGTAAGACAATTTTAATTGATGAATGAGATTGAATCAAAACCTCTAAAGAAAAGAAAATTAAAGAGATCAAGGATGAGGTACCCTTAACTGATAAGGAACTTAGTATTACCCCTTAGTTGTTAAATACATATTTATTTCAAAGATTGATTTGGGTGATTAGAGAAAGAAAAAAATTTAAATATATGCCGCAAGAAATGAGAAAATGAAGGACTAAGCAGTAAACATCCTACTCCATATCATATTAGGTGGGTGAATAATGCGCATTACCTATTACGACCATATGCCTAGTTCCTGCCTAGTTCCACTCAAATCGAGAAGTTATGGTGTGATATCCTCCATTTGGATATAACATCTATTCCCTTGGTAAACCATGATTATTTCATATGGATTTTATTCCTTATGATAGGATAACACCTATGTACTTAAGCATAATGGAAGGCCATCAACTAATTCCCTATTCGATCAAAGTAAAAGAGAATCAACGAGCTCCACCCAAGTCTAGTTGTGACTTCAAACCTTAATCTAGTAAAAACAAGGTTGCACTACTTCACTTGATAGTGAATACTCATCCCTAATCCATCTAGTTCAAATATGTGCACTGATGTCTCTCCATCACCATTTATATTTGATATCCATGTTCTTCCACCCTAATAGTTTGTAATGATACACCAATTGACACACCCTTAAATGATATATACTTAAAAAGCCTATCTTAAGAATTGCCTACTATGATGTGTTTTTTGTGTGACCCACAAGCCATTATGGAATACACCATTAGGTCACCACTATCTGACCTCTTGTAATCTACAAACAACCATAATTTAAGTGTTATCATGCATCAAC